AGTCTCGCTCATAAATGTCTGACATAAATATAATTGAAAATAATCCTGCAAGATCTCCCTTAGGTCTGTGTCTGTGTAATTATACATGTAAATAAAGTAAATTTCACTGACACGCACGCGTATATTTGATATCTTGATATTCATATTTAAACATCTAGGCAGAATATGTGTAAAGTGTGTGAGATGAGACATGGCAATTATATATTTTTAGAACACGTAGATGCAGATAATGGCGCTGGTCAGTGGAATGTACTGTTTGTACATGTATAATTAGACAGACATACGCACATCCGTATGCACACACACACACACACACATTTATGTTCAGATTTTCTATGAAAGTCTCTTTTAATAAGTGTAGGGAGTCTTAATTTTCATATAAGTTATATACTTTTTTATTTTCAGATGGTACCTATTGAAGAATTTGAAGCATCATTTCAGTTTATGCAAGAGTGTGCTCAGTACTTCCTTGAGGTGAAAGATAAGGATGTGAAACATGCGCTCGCTGGTCTCTTTGTTGAAATTCTAGTCCCTGTTGCAGCTGTAAGTAGCCTCTGATGTGTCCTGAAGTCAGCCTAGATTTGTAATTAGCAATATTATTTAGTCCTAACAGGAATGGAGTTTTTTTAAATGAATGATTGACTGAATAAAAGTGACTTTGTGTGTTAGGTTTGAGGTTCTTAGCTCAGTAAACATGTTAATTATGGTCTTCAGGGTTGTTGATGCCTTGTGGACTTGTAGGTGGGTATGGTCATTTTAGCCTTCAAGATGGATGCAGCACGTTCCCCTAAAAACACTGGTACCCACTTGCGAGTCCTGACAGCGTCACGACCCAGAAGGTCAACATCAACAGCTTTTTATGTTCTTTCTGTTTTTTCTTTTGCAGACTGTGAAAAATGAGGTGAATGTTCCATGTCTGAAGAACTTTGTTGAGATGTTGTATTCACAGACGCTGGACATGTGTACCAAGTCAAAACACAGACTGGCTCTGTTTCCTCTAGTCACTTGTCTTCTCTGTGTCAGTCAGAAGATCTTTTTTCTCCAAAACTGGCACTACTTTCTGGCAATGTGCCTTTCACATCTTAAAAACAGAGACCCCAAGATGTGTCGGGTCGCTCTAGGTAGGTATCGCGATGGTTTCTCAGTGTAATTCTATGCTTATCAGTCACTTAGTTTGAGTGTTACATGAGTATTTTTGTTCTTACAGAATCACTGTATCGCTTACTGTGGGTGTACATGATCAGAATCAAGTGTGAAAGTAATTCTGCAACTCAGTCACGCTTGCAGAGCATCGTAAACTCTCTGTTCCCGAAGGGCTCTAAAGCCGTGGTTCCGAGAGACACCCCGCTCAATATCTTCGTCAAGATAATACAGTTCATTGCTCAGGTGTGTGTTTATACAGACTCTTAAACCAGGTGATGTACAGAAATGGTATTAACAATGCAGATTAGAAAATATCACGTGACTGTCGTGAAACACGTGAATGAGAATGTGTTATTGCATAGTGATTTTTCGTACTTATTAAGCTGTATCTTTGACGGGATTTGACAACTGGGCTTGAATAATCTAAACATGAGATGGTCTTGGAGTAAGATTAAAGATTGTTGTAAAAATGTCACTGTCACTTATTTTTTTTAACAGGAACGTTTGGATTTTGCAATGCGTGAGATTGTGTTTGACTTGCTGTCAGTAGGGCGGCCAATTAAGATTATTCTCACACCTGAGAGAATGAGCATTGGACTTCGAGCATTCCTTGTAGTGGCAGACAGTTTACAGCAGAAGGAAGGCGAGCCACCCATGCCACGTACGATGGGAGTTCTTCCTTCGGGCAACACACTCCGAGTCAAAAAGACATTCCTGAACAAGGCATGTGTCATATCCTTCTGATTTCTTATCCTGTTGTTTAACATACGCAGAATAACACTCCTTTTATTTAGAATGAAGTTAAGATGCTTATTATTTGTCTCTGCAGTGACTTGCTCTTTTATAGTTGAAACTTTCCTTAATTTTTGTGAAGGAAGGAAGGGGATAAATAATTATTCTTAATATGTACCATATCATTCTGACTATTGTAACGCTGTTTGTCAAGGACTCTGGCCATGTTGTCAGCAGCAGGTCTGATATTATTCCTACCATACGCTACAATTTTTTAAGTTATAATGTACTTAAACAAGTGACAAATCTTGAAATTGAGGTCAGCAGTGTCGCTTTGGTTCTGACATAATTGATATCTTCCGAAGAATTGCTAATTTTGTTTTCGTGTTTAACCAGATGTTGACTGAAGACACTGCTCGCAGTATTGGGATGTCGTCGTATTTTCCTCATGTCCGACGAGTGTTTGTGGATATCCTTAGAGCATTAGATGTTCACTACGGACGGCCACTAATGATGACTAGTACACAGAATGTTAATAAGGTTGGCACAATGTCATGTGAATTTATGTGCTTATTGGTAATGCTGGTTTGTTATTGGGGTAATTTGAGAGGTTTTGTATGGCTCTGTTTCTTTCCAGGAACCAGATGAAATGTTGACTGGTGAACGGAAGCCCCGCATAGATCTCTTTAGAACGTGTGTTGCTGCCGTTCCTCGTGTCATACCAGATGGAATGACTGGTACCGAATTAGTCGATCTTTTGGCAAGGTTAACAGTTCACATGGACGAAGAATTAAGGGGACTTGCATATCAAAGTCTTCAAACACTTGTCATGGATTTTCCTGATTGGAGGCAAGATGTTATATATGGTGAGCTTGTTGTTGGTGCCACATGTTTAAAGAATATCATCGTGCATGCACAAGGTTGCAACACGTTTTAAATTTCATTGATTGATGCGTGGAATTTTATCAGTCGGCATTTTCTTTACACAGGGGAATTTTTTGAAGTCCAGTTGTGCTCGATACACTTCATATCACTGTCGTCAGGCTTCACCATTTTTTTTCAGGGTTTACGCAGTTTCTTGCCCGTGATGTTCAAGATACATTTCCGCAGTTGGTGGATAATGGACTACGAATGTTACTGCAGTTACTTACTAGCTGGAAGAATGCTCTGGCTCCAAATTCTCTGCGTGGGTCAAAAGATGCGATGGGATCTGATGGAGCTCGTGGAGGGAACAGAGATTTGCAAGTGGCTAGAAAGGCTGAACATGTTCAAGTGAGTGTGGAGTTTTTATAAAAGCTTTATCTATCATCTTACCAAGGTTTATCTTTATCTTAACAGCTCCAGAGAGCCAAAGCCGACTAGCTTGACTGCTGGCCTCACGTTCACATCATCCAACCAGATATAGGGTAACGTGTGGTCAGCACGACGAACCCCCAGCCATTGCTAGCTTTCCTGACTGGATTACGCTACTCATTGTAGCTCCCCAATTTCCTCACGATGCTGGATTGATGCCGGTCCAATACACCGGTCGAAAGCTCATGAGAAAATTTCTTTTTCCCCGAGACTCGAACCAGCGCGCATTCTGTATCGCCGGTCTAAAGCAGGATGCCTCAGAGACATTATTTTGAGTTCAGATTTATTTTTCTGTCATTTAAAATGCAAACAGTAAGTTGTGACGATGCTTTGTGAGAAGTTCTGATTTAACCCTGGTAGAATGTAGTTAATAAAAATAAATTACTTTTTGTAGAAAACAAATAGTTGTTTGCTGCATACAAAAGAGACTAGTGAAACAAAGACGAGCAAATCTTCAAAGAGAAAATGAAGTTTCTCTTTAGACAGAATGAAATGTACAAATAAACATGGTGTTTGTAGCTATCTAATTTTAAACCGTGTGATGTTAGGTCGTTATGGAACTGTCTGTAATTATTTTGCAGAAAATGGAGCCTGTGTCAAATGTTTTCCATCTTGTGGAAGGATTTGCCCTAGTTATGTTGTGCAATTGCCGTCTTTACCCACGTCGTCTGTCAGTCCACATTTTGCGAGAGGTAAAGATGCTGATCAAGAGCGTAGGATGCTGCGAAGATGACCAGCCAGTTATTGACGTAATCGACCGTTGCTGTCCGCAAGTCATGGAGAAATGTCTGGGAATGCTCCCACCTGCAGAAAAGGCCGCGGCACTGTCTGTCTCCAATGTAGATCTCCAGTGGATCGCCGATCGTAGCTCATGCGTTTGGACTGCAGGTAAATATTTTCTATGTGGCCTACAAATTCTGTCGCTGAATCATGTCTTTAATTTGTCTGCTGATAAAATCTAATGTGTGTGGACTGAAACATTGAAAGTGTTGAGTTGTGGCAGATGGTGACCAGATTCTTTTCATCCTTGCAGGTTTTCAGGATGAAAACAGTACCAAAAGTTCTTCATCGTTGAACCTGAATGGTGTTGATCCTTGGAGCACCTGTTTGTTTGGATTTCTTGAAAGAGGTCGAGTTCTTTCCCTCTGTCCATCTGCTGTTATGCACTCGTGGCCAATTGTGTATGGCAGAATAAATCCTCTCTTTTCAGTTGTTGACCCAACGTGAGTATCTACTCCGTAACGGCGTGTCACCGTGTATATATGATAACGGACAGTCACCTGAATTCAGAAAACATTTTTTGTTCATGTGGTCGGTATTTGGCAGTAAAAACCTGTACGTCTTTATGGAGAACATCAAATTAATAACCAGTACACATGCTAATTGGACCCAGATCTGGAAGAGGTTGAGATTTTCTGGTACAGTCCATTGCTAATGCAATGGACTTCTGTTGTCAGATCAGCGGATGGAATGGATTTAATCGTGTTTAATCAATTTCGTACCGAACGTCGCAGCTTACAAAGCAATATTTTTTGGTTCCTTGTTGAATTTAATGCTGAAGCACGTGTTTTTCTTTTAATACAGGCCCGTGAATGATAATAGAGCTTCCTTACTGAGGGGTTCAACCACCGTAAAGAAACCCGTTAATGAGAGAGATATTTACATGCATGTATGGAAAAATTATGTGACGTTTGCATTTCGCGTTGTTCCTCCTGTTCCGAGCCCAATCGTAAGATGTGCGTCTCCGGATCTCAGTCTCAGGTATGTGTTAATAAATAAAGAATTTACCTGTCATCATCTGTAGGATGCTCGCTGCTGGGAAGGAGAGTGACGTGTTACGATTATCTTGCAGTTCGTCGCCGGACAGTCTCGCAACCGAGCGCAATGACAACAAGTCTCCTGGAGGGAATGTGTCACCAGCAGGATTGTACAAACTGGTAATTCCGCTCTTGCGCTGTGAAACTGTTGACGTGAGGGATGCGGCAGTTCACGCATTAGGCAAAGTTAACTCGGATGCTCTCAAGTAAGTTCCGCAAACTAATTATACTCCTCGTGGATTTATAACACCGTCACTTATTCTTATAATTGGATCCATTTTCACAAATATAAACTCTTTGAAAGTGGCAACGTTGCAACCATGTTGATGTTTCTTAAGTGAGAAAGAGGACAAGTCATCGCCCTGATGATTCTATCAGACTACGCATCTCTGCAGCCTAGGAGATTGCCGTGAAAACCTGAAATCTTTAGATTTGTATCCTTTTCAGGGACCTGATGGAAGAACTGGTGATATATATCCGCGAAGCTGTCGACAGAAAGCAAGAGAACATGAGACGCAGACGGAGGCGCGACGCCTTGAGACTGCAGTTAGTCAGAGTTTTTGAACTTGTGGCAGAATATGGCACGTTCGGTGTCAGGTAAGTCTGCGGAATATTTCGAATAGTGCGACGATATTCCACTTAAATAAAGAACGCCCATGCCATGAACCCGCGTGAGGAGCCCGGGCGTCGGTTGTCGATGGGATGATCAGAACCATTTAGGTACGCTTGCACTTGGTTTGAACTCCGTGTCATTCGCTATTTAAACTTCATCTTGCAAGTAGCAGATACAGTTCTGAAGGTTTTCGAATCGTTCATTTGAAAACGAATGAAGATCGGACGCACGTGCAATACCAAAATAAAACGCTAAGGCGTATTTTTTTGCGCTTTGTACTTTACAAATTATTTCTATTACAGTCCTTGCGTTTTGGACAGAGATACGCAGTCCCTTCATCCGACATTTGTCGAATACATCGATGGAGCGCGACTCTACCTAGAGAATGAGGCGGACAAAGAAGCTCCGGCTGTCAGGGACATCAAATTGCACTTCTGCAACTTTATTCGCAAGATGATCAAGAGCTTTTCCTGTAAGTATTTCAGTGGCTCGTGGAATACAGCGTCAATTTACAGCATGACGAGTGAATAGCATATTCGCAAGATGATCAAGAGCTTTTCCCGTAAGTATTTTGGTGGCTCGTGGAATACAGAGTCAATTTACAGCGTGACAAGTGAATAATGCATTGGAAAGGCTGTGGAAGGAAGTGGTCAAGGCCTATTTTTTAAAATTAATGTGGTATTTGGAGAGATTGAGGAAAACCACGCGACAGTCAGGATGAGTGGTCTCTGAGGCGAGATGTACTCGGCGTATGTAAACAGATTAAAGCCGTGGGCCCATGGAAGTTTTTTTACGCGGAAGCGTGATTGCGTCTTGTTCCTTGCAGTGGAAACGTGCCTGTCGCTCTTGAAGAGAGACGTGCGTTGCAACCTGTTCGCCCTGTTTGCCGGTTGGAGCGGGCGGTTTGGCCGACCGCTCGGTCACCCGACATCGGGTCAGGACGCCGACGACCGGCCGTGCTCCGAACTTCAGTTGTCGGCCCTGCAGGCCATGAGCGCTCTGCTGTGCTGTGGTCCTTGCTTCAATCCTCAGGGCTTGGCAGAGGACGGGATGCTGTATCCTTGGCTTGACATGTTGTTGTCCTCACGCGATGAAAAGGTAGGATCCTCAAAGTGCTTCTTTTTTGTCGTACGTTAACTGCGTTCTGTCTCAGTTTTATCGTCTCCTGTACGAGTGCTGGCGACTGACGGCCTTCCAGAGTCATTAGATTTGAAGGCAGAGGTCAGATTTCAGCGAGAGCTGCTTGTGGCAGGCACGTCATAGCCGACGGACATCTTAGACGTATTTAATTAATCTTTGTAATAATGTTGATGAAGTTTTGTATTGACTTTTCGCCACAGGTGAATTCTTTGAAAACAAATTTTCTAAATTTCTGCGCGTCTTTGTCGCATCGAGATGACGGCTGAGAGTCGTGAGTTGGAGTAGTGGTGTCGTGGAGGTCTGGTCCTGTAATCATGAGTTAAAGAGGGCCGTGAAGTTTCTTTCATGTGAACACGAGGCATTTGCATTAAAGCCGAATGTCTTTTGGTGTGTAGACTTTAATTTCTGTTGCTAATTTATTTTTTTCTCTCAAGTTTTGTCTGATGCTGTTTCAAGCGATTTCTCTTTGGTGCATTAAATGAATAATTGCTGATGATTTGCGATGAACAGGTCTCAGCCAGTTATGAATGTAATTTGAGCTTTAATGTCAGTCTGTCTGTCTTTGTCCAGTCTTTGCGTTAATGAATGCGTTAGTCATGTATTCACCTTCTGTCTGCAATTTTAATCTCTGAAAATGTTCCGTGGCTTTAAGTGAAATTTAGTTTTGCGCCAAGAGTTGAACCCGTGACCGCCAGAATATGACTGGAGTACTAAGCGCTTGGCGATGATTGTCTGGTCTGTGAGGACGGGTCGTAGATGTGGTGGACGGCCTTCGGAGGATTTCTCAACTGAGAGTATTCGATTTGAGGCGGTGAAGATGTTGGTTCCTATGGGTAATAACACCCTGTGAACATATATGTAGATACCAACGTTTCGGAAGTACATACTGCTTCCATCTTCAGGGCGGTAGTACGCAGAAAATCAGCATCGACTTGTCAGATGAGCACGTGTTAGCTTCAGAAAGCGGATTATGAGCCAAGTGGTCTGAATGCATTGTATGTAGACTAGAAGTCAAGCACAGTTGAGGCTCTCAGCGGTTTTTCTTATCGAGGCCTGTCTGCTGCAGACGGAGGTACGGGGTTGGAAAATGTTTGTTCCGTCAAAGAAAATAGATAAATTGTAAAAAAGAACGGGAAATTATGTTGAGCTGTAAATATTGCCTGCGGGACCAAAGGCGTGTGTAATGAACGTGAGCTTTGTAATTTTCAATACCGAAACCAGCCTTCCGCTTCTGTGCGCACAGAAAACACATTACTGCTGTTACGTGGAAATGCATTGAGCGTGGTTAATTAAGGATACGAGAGAAATTGTTTTCTGTCAATTCCTCTGAAAGTCTTGACGTATTAGAAGAGCCTGTATTGTGTTTGTTAGAATCTGTGGTTGCGCAAAAGTGTAAAAAATTATTTTCTCTTGTTCTCGCTGAAAGCTTTATCCAACGTTTATTTGTTTTCTCTGATCACGTCGCGCGATACGGAGTTAAATGCTGCTTATTACAGGAGAACAATTCGAACGTCGAGACCG